TGTTTGAAAAATCTTATTTCGTCTTAAGAGAATCTCTGAAAAGTGAAATTAGTAGATATGTATACTCAGTCCGGTATATACAAATCAGGAAAACCCATAAGCAAAAAGCGCATATCGTAATCATTACATAAAAAATACTCTGAATTTTCAAGTTCGTCGACAAAGTGGCTATTATCGCATTATAATTTAGTTATTTACCTTCAAAAGTTTGAAGGCATGAAAATTGACCGAATTTCAGTTTAAGCTCAAGAAGCATTGCTCGCGGCGTATGAAATTGCAAATTCATTTGTGAATCAATACATTTAAAGACAAACATACATATGTACATATGTATGGATAAACATATGTACATATGTATAGTATGTGTCAGTATACATAAATAAATGTACTTACGAACTTAATAAACAAATGTTTTGTGGCTTTTAAGAGAACACTTGAAACGATGGTCGAAATAGCTTAATTTTTGTGTGGCTAAATTTAATTGGAGAGTCCTAACTGCTCATCGTACTTACAATCCAATATCTATTTACTTCCAATATCTATTTACTTCCGCGTGGAAAATGCTGCAGTAGTTTGGCAGCTCATAGGATTTGTTAAGGCCGAGCACCGCGCATGCCCCTACGCCCTTCTCCATTTTCAATCCGTCTGTATAGACAGTAACCGACCCAGCACTTTCCTTGGCCTTCGTCGACCGCTATAGTGGCTGCGAAGTTCATTCCAAACTGCAGATCCGGGATCGCATAATCAATCCGTCCATATACAGTTGACGCTGTACTACTCTGACACTAAGACCTGCACTTAAACTGATCCGTAGCATAAAGCCTGGCGGCAGTCTTTTGGGCTATATTCTTGGCCGATAGGTCCGCCGGCAAGATATGCAACACTGTGTAAAGTGCTTCCGTTGGTGTAGGCCTAAGTGTCTCCGTCATGCCGATCATTGATAGCCTATATACACTTTCTATACTCTTCATAAATGTTTTCTTAACCAATGCTGCCCACCAAACCAATATAACAACAGTCTCGGCCTGACTATCGCCGTAAGGATCCAACGAGGAAGAAAAGGCGATAAGCCCCAGTTGTAGCTCAGCATCTTTTTGCATGCATAGAATGCAAAGGATACCTTCTTCGCCCTCTCCTCCACAATGAGGCGTCAAGACAGTTTAATAATAANTCCCCCCACTTTGCATTCAGTATCCTGTTGATCACCAGCGACCAAAGTCCCGCTACGTTTTTGTTTCGAATAAAACATCGATAAATGTAATAGTAATCAATTCGTTATAAAAATGTCGATAAATTTTCTTTTTTTGTCGTGCTAACGTTCAGATAGCCAAGCACGATTTTGGCCATTAAATGTATCAATAAAAATTTTGATAGATTTGTGTGTATGTACAGTTCTGCTTAATTTGAGAAGAAATTAATATATGCATGTATTTTTTAGCATTCGCAAAAATTTTTTTTAATTACAATCAATAATTTGCAACTGCGCTTCTTTGCAGCTTTTAAGGTTACCTATTTCATTTTCTTCAACTTGACTTTCCTAAAGTCACTAAACTCGATTTTTCATTTGATTTTGTGAAATTGCTTTTGTCAATAAATAAATGTCAAGCTGTGCTTTTAATTAAACTTGACCTGCGCAAAATGACTGATTGTGTGCATTTGAATAGTTTTTGTTGTTGTCAATTAAATTTTAGGTCTAAATTAAGTTTTTAATAAAAAGTTAACTGATAGCAATCAATTCGTGCGGTTTTCTTCCGTATGTGAGGGTGCAACCGCATGTTGCTGTTTGTGTGTGTGTGTGTGTGTGTGTTCGTGTTCGCAAATGTCTGGCATTTGACCGCTAAGCGGATTAAGTGTCAATGTGACAATTGTCAACTAGTATTGCCCTCTAAAAAATTGACTGTTGAACCGGTTTGGGCGCCAAAACTGTCACAGCAGTTGTCAAACAATAGAAGTACGAAAAAAAAAATAAAAAATAAAAATATGTGCATAAGTATGTATTGATATATGAATGTGCCGTATGTAGTACTCAGGTAATTGTAGCAATCGAAATATGCCTTTGTACTAGCGAACGAATATTGAAATTTAGCGATCGATCAGCATGATTTAACAACTTTTACGTTCGTATGTATGTATGTGTATGTGTTTGTGTATGCGGGTGACAATTTCGCATGTTTTTCTATTTCGAAAATGTTACAGTTTGCCGGTTTGGACAGACCCAACCAGTTTTTTTCGCGTGCGCACGTCATCCGGTACGATTTGGTCGACACCTCGACATGTTTTTTCTTTTTTTTCGAAAATACATAGCTCTATTGAAGCCAAAAATTGTATTAGTACTTGCTTGTGCAGGCATAAGTGATTTGTATACAAACCCATAGTTGGCAGGGTTTAAAATTTTTTTGTTTTTTTTTTTTTGTACTTACACGCCAATGCGCCTCTAAGTATGAGCATAAGCGTGGCTGTTTTTGTACAAAAATGTCTCATATGTATGTATGTACATATTTATGTATATGAAGCTCGCCTCTGCTAGTGTTTGACTTTGCGGATTCTTTTATTCGAATTGCTACAAATTTTCGATTTTTTTTCTTTTTGTTTTTTAAGCATTCGAACTCTTTCCTTTTTTAATACCTCCCTCTACTCTGAGTGTAGTATATAATAGTTGTCACCGCTTGTTGACAGCATCACAACATCGTTGTTAGTTCATCGTCAAACAGCGCCTGGCTGTCATAGTACATAGAAAATTGTTGAATCCTTCGTAAATTCAAATACGTGGTGTGTTTGCAAATTTTAATAATTTGAAGCAATGGCAAGCAAAGTAAGTGAAATTTAGTGCTGCAGCGATTTAATTAGAAATAATGAAATTAAAAAACAAAAAAACACATAATAATAATGGCAATATTGTGTACTTCAAAGGATACGCGTACACAAAAAGAAAAATTCGTTCAAAAATTCACTTCCTGTGAAAAACATATTAACAAAATTGTGTATAAAAAACAAACTGTCAGAAACACAAAAGTCGCTAAGAAAAGGGACATGACAACGGATAAGGCACACAACGGTGTTTACTCTTCCCACAGGAAATAGTAATTGTTTAGCGCGGAAATTCTTTGTGAACCTTTGAATGGTATTTTTTTTTGTTTTTGCTTTCAAAATGATTAATGGAAACGCTTTGTGATATAATAATTAGTAAAGATTTTTTTTTCAGAAATTTAAAATTTTTTTAATGAAGCAGAAAAGCAAACCAAAAAATTCTCCAAATTAAATGTCGAATTAAAATCACAACTAAAAAAAAAAAAAACAAAAAAGTTAAAAAATCCATATTTTTTACAATTATTTTATAATTATAGATGTTTTAGAAAATAATATGAGAAAACTTAATATGTTTTTCGGTATAACACAATCCTAGGGAGTGAAAAATGCGAACTTTACTCTTTCACATACATTTTTGGACAACAAATAAATATTTTTTAGGAACACAAATAATTTTTACTGAAAAAATTTCAAAATTAATCAGAAAATAAAATTTTCCTCTACATAGTGATTATATCTATGTACATATGTATATTTGTTATAAAAGTTTAAAGAAAAAAAAAAATTGTTTGAAGGTATATTTTAACAATTTTGCGAAAAATTGCAAATTACTTTTATATTCCGCAAATAATTTCTCCATGATCAAATAATCGGTTCTAAACCCTATCTGAATTATGGAAATCGGTTAACGTGGTCTAAAGTTTTGCGGTAACATTCATAAAAAAATATTCCGATGAATTGATAACCTCCTCCTTTTTTGAAGTCGGTTAAAAAGCAATGAAACAAATTTAGTAATGGTTTTTCGCCAGCCGTAATAGATTTTGTAGAAATTTATAAAAAATTAAAATTTCGCTACAAAAAAGGTTTTAACTTTATTTATACGTCTTTAGAGCAATTTGTACCAGCAAAGGAAAAACCGATAAACTGGAATTGATAAAAACTCAAAATTTCCTGCTTTGGAAAAATCAAAATTTACCTGTCAAAATATTCTCAATTTTGATTATGTCCAAACATTTTTACTGAATTTTTTTTCGCATAGAAAAGAATTCGAAATACTCACCTCTCTCACTTCGCTCTTCCTTACAGTTCTTGATCCTCTTGTCCCTCTTGGCGTTGGCCGGCTCCAGCTTGGCTGGCGTTGCCACCTACTCCTACAACCCGTACGCCGCCTACCATCACGTGCCCGCCGCCGTGACCACCTACGCCAGTCCCGCCCACCAAGTTGTGTATCACCATGCCGCCCCCGCATTCTACCATCACGCGCCAGTCGTCACAAAGTCATACGTCGCGCCAGCGCCCCTTGTTGCTGCCGCTGCACCAGTTGTTAAGACCGTCGCTGCCGCTCCTGCTGTACAAGTAGCCGCTGCTGCACCCGTTGTCACTAAAACTGTTGTCGCTGCTGCACCCGCACCCGCTACCATCGTAAAAGAAGTTGAGGTCGAGTCTGCTCCCCGCTACGATTTCTCCTACGGTGTGCACGACTCGCTGACCGGTGACATCAAAAACCAAGCGGAGACCCGCACTGGCGGCAATGTTGCTGGCTCCTACAGTCTCGTAGATGCCGATGGCTACAAGCGCACCGTAACCTACACCGCTGACGATTTGAACGGCTTCAACGCTGTGGTGCAACGCGAACCAATTGTCGCTAAAGTTGCTGCAGTTGCTGCGCCCGCCGTGCAACAAGTTGTGTCTGCCCAACCAGTCGTTCCCGTGCAACAGCAGTACTTGCAATACTTGCCACAACAGCCCATTGCTGCCGCTCAACCAGTAGTGCCAGCCGCCGCCGAGCCAGTGCCCGTTGAGTACCCCGAACAGCAACCAGAACTCGCGCAACAACAACAACCGGAACAACCACAATATCCACAGAACCAACACTACCCACCCTACCCGCAACCAGAAGGTGATGACTCCGATGTCGTCGATGTACGCTCTGTCAACAATAGCAACAATGCTGAGCCATCCAACGAAGCTGCCCCCGCACCTGTGGCGGAAGCGGCGAAGGAAGCTTAAGCTACGCAAATTGTGATTTCGAGGGTGTTTTACTAAAAGTTTAGTTTTCCTCGCGGAAAGCGTAAAAATGAAGATAAACGCATTGTTGGCAGGTTAAAAGATTTAAATTAATAAAACGAACGAATGAATGGAAAATTAAATTTCCAGCGAATTTACTGAAGGGGAAGAAAGTGGTTAAGCTCGAATTTGGGGTGGGCGTCTTGGCTTTGTCTTACAAATGAAGGCAAATTATTTTTGTATGCAACGAAGCATTCCTTTCTAGGATTTGTGCAAATTTTTAGTGTAAATATTTTGAGATAAAAATACTCGTATAGCTTGGTGTTAGGGGAAAGCTTTCCTAGATTCCAGCACTTAGGAAAAAATGCACATAAATATGTATAGGTGACAGCTCCGCTAATGTTGAATTATGTTATTAAAGATAAAAAGAACCTTTTCCTTTTTATCTTTCCAATGCTGAGGAGCTCTATCCCTTCCTCTATCCCTTCCGTCCACGACCAACGTATCAAGCCGCTAAACCCCTTAGGTTTTTACGTTGCATATTTTTAGGCGGAAAATTTAAATTTTTGGTGATCAAATTTTAATGGAGACGCTCCTGGAATATGACTGCATGCCTAAAATCTATTTAATATGGACTGTATCGAAACTTATAGTGTTTCGTTTCTACCAAAAAAATTTGCACGTCTCTCTTTTCGTATAATGTCGATAACGATGCTTAACTGGGAGTTAGAATTAAATAGACATTGTGCAAACGGCCCTTAGGGTGTAAATAAAAGGTAAGTAGTTGAAAATGCGAAGCTTCGCATTTGAAAGGTTCCAAGCTCGTTTGGTAGGAATACTGATAGGCAAAAAATGGTCTGAGTGGCAACACTTACGACAATGTTATGAAATGCGTGGGCCATAGAGCTGCAAAACTTTCGATTGTACCTCGACAGTATCGACAGTTTTTTTTTTGGAAAAATATCGATTGTTTTCGGGCGATAGTCGATAGTGCCGGTGCATTGAAATTTTGTGATCTTTACTTAAATAAGTGACGCTGTGAATTTAACTAAGGAAAATATTTAAAATTTCACGATTAAGATGCAATATTTATACTTACATATGTGCAATATTTACATTTACATATGTACATATGTATGTATATATTATACACATTTTGTTCGGAGTTGAAGTTTCCCTACATATACAACACGATAGTATACGATACTATCGAAAATATCGATACCAGATAAAAACGACCATTCATGATGAGTACTAAAACCAGAATCCAAGATACCTTCTTAGCGAATTTTAGGATTTTTTAGAACCCTCCTTTTGTTACTTCCACGAGGATAATGAGGAACGCATCCCCAAAGCAGTTCAGACGCAAGTTTGCCAGCGCTGCACAGTGCACTATGTGCTCCACCGTCTCATGATCAATTTCACATATCCTACAGCTATCACTACTCACCAAACCCCTTTTTAAGCGCGTGGTTAGCTAACAAATTATGACCAGTTATGAGACCCACCAGAAGTTTAAAGTCGTTCCTTGGTAATTTACGTCTAAGTTTTGTTCGTTTAAGGTCATGTGACGTGGGCATGGCTCTGGATACTTTGCAGCGACGACGCCCTTAAGTATTTTAACTTCAAATGTTTATATGCATTTCCCGCAGTAAACAAGTCGGCTGTTCCTACCACGCTTTTGGAGCTTTTTTAGGCTCTATTTTAATCTCACAAGAATAAAGTGCAAAAATGTCCTTTAGTAATGTGAACGGAAAAGCATGGTATAAACAAACCAGCAACAAGACAAGTAGACAAATGTACAGCATACATAATAGACCCCTTATTGACCTTATTTATTTGCAATTACAAAGAAGTTCAGGCACACAAATCTATATGCAGTGAGCTCCCGCCTCCGCCGGAAAAGCTTTAGGGTAAGCGCATAGTGTAGCGGCGGGCAAAGCGACGATTACAAACGTGAATTTCTCAATGCGAACGCATATCGACCGCTGAGTGGAAGATCGACCTATCTCGGCAGCCAGTCCCAAAACGCCATATATCAGCTGCCGCTCTAAAAACGCCCTATCTCAAAATATCGGGCCATAACCGCCAAAATGACGTAAGCAAAATTTTTTTCAAAATTTCCTTTTTATGCAGAAATGCATCTAGATGCTCTAGGAATAATTCTGCATCAAAAGGGAAATTTTGAAAAAAAAAATGTCGCTTACGTTATTTGGCAGTTAGGGCTCGATATTTTCAATATATTTTCAGTTGAGATAGGCCGCTTTTGAACCACATTTTGAGATAGGGCGTTGTTCAAAAAAATTCTGAAATAGGGCGTTCTAGAAAAGTTTTCTGAGGTAGGGCATTCTCATGTGTATAAAGTTAGCGAAACAACATGAAGAAAAAAATGTCGCATATACCTATGAATTTGCCGTTTTTTTGCCGTTAATTAGTTGTGGAAAAAATAATTTTGTCGCTCTTGTATTTTTTTAGATATAAGGTGTTTTGCTAACTTTATATAAAGT